CTTCCCGGGCAAGGTAGATCAGTCGCAGGCTTCTGGATGGCCGCTCACTGCGGCTGCTGGCTGCTCACACTGGCTGCTGGCTACACATGGTAGACCATGGCAGCCCATTTGCAGCAGGGGCTCACAGCAGCCCAGCTCCAGGTTGAGCTGTTGTTCAGCATCTTAGCTGTAGAGGGCAGTGTCACTGGCCCTCATATGTGGGATCCGAACCGGGGCCCTCTGGCGTCCCAAGCCAGCTCTTAACCAACATGCCACTCTGCCGGGCCCAGTTTGTCAGTTTTTTAAGGCGGAAGCAGAGAGGTAGTGTGGTGGATGGTGTAGGGGCTCGGAATCAAACAGCCTGAACTGGAATTCTGGTTCCATTACTTACTAACTGCCTAAATTACCATTTGTATCTGCCAATTTAATCCCTCAGGGCCTCAGTTTCTTCCTCTGTAAAATAGGGACAGTGGCTACCTGTGCTATCGGGTTTTTTTTGCCAATCCTGTGGATGTGGCCTGGTGTCTTTCTCCATCATTTGTCCAATGGCAGTGCTTTCTTCATTTGCAAGAAGGAGTCTACTTGTCTGTCATTAAGAGCACTGTATAACAAGGCCTAGAAGTGTGCATGCCCAAGAGATATTTCAGGCAAGCTATATCAAATAATGGATCAAAGGTTGTATCCTGGAATGATCTCAGTCTTTATTGTTTACATCTGTTCATGAAATCCATTGCCAGCTTGTTACTAGGAAATGTCTTTGTCACAGAATACAGGAAATCTGGCTCTTATGCCCCCAAAGCAGACAGAAAAGTTGTCATTCGATGTCATGGCTGTCGGTCCAAAGTCATGTTCACATTGTAGGATAGTGGACAAACCTCTTTTTGTCTGCTTCCCTTAAATCAGAGGGGGACCACGGGAGAAGGGGAATCATATATTTCTTCCTGAACCTTTAAAAAAGTTCAATAGTCATAAAGAGAAATCTCACCATGGGAGAGCTCAGAAACCCACGTGTGTCATAGCTGATTATTAATTACTGTTACCTTGAGACAAAAATAAAGGAATTTTGCTGAGGGGAAAATCCATTGTGAGTGATAGTTGTCTCTTAGAGTTTTGAATCTTTGAATTACTATTTTCTAAAAGAACGTATTTATTAGTTTAGGACCTTGGCAGGAACAAGGATGTGTCCCTGATGTTAGGCCCCCCAATTTCCTGTAAATATTAACTTAAAGGGTGGTTGTAAGGATTATTATATAGGGGTTAAAATAACACATCTCTGGTGTTTGAATCCAGATCTAACACTTACCAGCTGTGTGACCTTGGGCAAACTCTCTGAGCTCCAGTTTCCTCATGAAGATTGGGGATTAAATATAACTCGATGAAAATCTTAGCAACTTGCCTGGTATATGGTTAAGCACCCAAAAGATGATGTGCCCAATGATAGTTACTATTATTAACGCAAGTCATAGTACATTTGGATACTAAGAAAAATAGGCCAGGCCACTTAGGCTTTCTGTAGATGATTATCTATTTGGTTCTGAAGTTATCAAACCTTATGAAACGGTGATAGATGAAGGACATGGGGCTCAGGAGAAAGGGGCAGGGCAGCGTGCTGTAGTGGAAAAATCGGAGATTTTAGCACCCAAAAGATCTGCATTTAAATCCTAGTTATATTTCTTGTTTCTTGTTGCTTAAGCAGGTCCTTCTCCCAGGGTCACGGTCTCCTCATTGGTAAATTGGGATTAACAATGCCTGTGGCTGGGGAGGTCGCACTGGTCAGACAGTCGGTGAAGTCCCTGGAACGGCAGGGCCTCGGAAGCTATTGTTGGATTAGGGCAGGAGCCGTCCCCGGGACCTGTCACCAGGAACGCTACCAAGGCAGGACAGCCGGGGAATGGGACCCGCAGGTCGGAGAAGGGGCAGGGCTGGGGCAGCCCTGGGTGGCCGGGTCGCACGCCGAGCCGGAGGCCGAGGACTCCCGAGGCCTTTTGTTGGCCGTCTGAGCTGCCTCTGCACTCGCTGGGGAGGATGAAAGCCAGATGTGGCGGCGGGATGGCGGGGAGACGCCAAGCTCTCAGAGCCTGGACACGAGACCTGGACCCCGCTCCAGACCCCGCTGTGACATTAAATGAAAGGGGGGCGCGATCTCACGAGAATTATATAGTCTCCGAGACGCGCCCCTAAATGACAGCCGGGCGGGCCACTGACGCGGACCGCTCGGCCGCGTGGGGGCGCACAGTGGACGGCGCGCAGCCCCGGCGGCCAATGACTGGCGGGGTCGCGGGCGGGGCCGGGGGCGGGGCGGCCGGCGCTCCAGCGGCGAGGCTGGGCTGCGCCTCTGGGAGCTTGCTGCTCCCTTGAGCCCGGGGTGCCGTAGGGCTTGCGTGGGCCAGCCCTCCAGGGACCCGGCCGAGGGCGCTGTGCGCTGTCTGTACTTAAACC